GATGCGAGGGGCCGCCTTTGCAGAGTTCGGGCCTCGTGGGGAGCATCGCTTCGGGCCCATGGGCCAGCAAGAAAACCGCACACGGCACGAAAACCATGAGAAGAACAGGATCGCGAGCTCTGAAGCCCTGCGGGCAGAACAAATTACGCATGTCGGAGGTCTAGGCAACGACCGAAGCAAACGCAGGCGCTGATCTAAGCGTCGGTGCTGCTGCCAGATCGATAGCGACTTCCCTTTCTGGGCCATGCGTGCCCAATCACACGCTTCAATACTGAGGGGGAGCGATAAGGTGGGTCTGGTTCAGGGGGGGAGGCATTGATTTGCAGTCGGTGTTACATCACCAATACATCGGCGATAGGCTCTCGATCGCGAAACCACACTCTCCTGCACGTTGGGGCACTCAAGGTCCGATTGGCGATGATTGGGCGATTGGGGGTCGATGCCCCCCCTGGGCCAATCCCCCCCTCTGATGTTGCCCCTGAACTACATCTACCCAGTGATCATTGCTGCTGCCACTGATAAATCGAGGCTTCAACACATGAGCCGTGTCTGAAAGCTCTTGGCCTCCCTGATTTTCTTTCCCTCTTCACCTTCCGCATGATCCGCTGTCGGAGCACCTTCCCCGTCCCACGCGCCATGTTCCAGGCCCGGATCTCCGTGCAGGCGATGTGCACCGTGGAGCTGGGGTCAATCTTGGCCCTCGCGAAGTCGAACGCGTGTATGAGCTCGTGCCTCGGAACGGCGCGCTCCGGCACAGCTTAGAGCTCAGAGCCGTCCGTCGGGTCCGTAGCAGGTGGTCTGGGTACAAGAGGATGGGTGCACAACTGATTAATGTATGCCGCACTTGCTCAACATGCCCTCAACCATCGTACGGCGGGCTCTTGCCTCGACGACGCGGACCGCCCTGGTTTATGCCGCTGCGCGACCCTCTCACCCTGGAACGATCCCCGCTCGAGAAAAGCTCCAGGGCCCCATGGGCTGTCGTTCCACCTCTCACTCGTGCCGAGGGCTGAATTCTATGGGCCCTAGGTCCTCGAACGGGCCCTTGGAGAGCGTTGAGCCTTGAACGCCCGCGCTGGTGTCGCCGCCACGCCGAGGCGGTAGGCGGATCTCTGGACCCCTCCCCGACGTTCTTCGAGCTGCGTCCAAACGTGGCCACGAGGGGGCCCCCCGAAACCCGCAGACTGCCAGGTGCGGAATCTTCAGGGGTCGCCGCCGCGTCGAGGCGTCTTGTCGCGCCGCAGTGGCGCACACCTGCCGCGGTATCGAGAGCGGCCCTCCTTTTGTTTGGACCGCCGCGGTCCCTGCTCGCAGCGCGCTCTGCTGGCGGGCGCCTGCGCTGAGGGGGGCTGAAGGAGAGATTGAGGATCGAGGTTTCTCTGCATCTCTGGGCCTCTAACAATCTTCTCGTGGCCATGGCTTGATCGGCTGTGGTATTCTGGCGAGAGTGCGCTCCAAGCGAACTAGGAGAAGGGGCGTTTTCGAGAAGACCATACACATGTGACGACTCTGTTGTCCTCGATGCCCGCGGTACCGTTTCTGGCACCCCCAGGAGCGTCAAATCATTGCACAGTGTGGAAAGCTGGTCCCGAGGAAGCCGTCCAGGGGTCAGGGGCCGTCCCAAGCCTGGGAAGGCAGCCGAGAAGAGACCAGAAGCGCCGGTCTGCTTGTGCGTGTCAGCCTCACCTTCTCTTCGTGTGGCCAAGCGCAGTTGCACCCACGCTCTTACAACGAGGCAGTGCTCTTCGAACGCAGGCCAGTGATCTGATCATCGCGTCAACCAGGCCCAGGAGTGAGCTTTGGATGATCCCCCCGCAACAGCTTCTGAGAGGCTTTCACGGCGGGCCGACTGCCCACACCAGCAAGGAGTCGCCCCCCCAGACCCCTCCCCGGTCCATCTGGGTCAGCTGTTCGAGCTGCGTCGAGTCGTGGCGACGAGGACCTCCAGAAACGCCCCCCGATGCGGAGGGGCAGACAGCGCCATTTGGGACTGGTCAAGTGGGAGAAATCGGGAGCGGCCAAGAGGGGGGTGTCCAAGAGGGGGGGTGCAAGTCATGACCGGCGGCATGTGCGCGGCCCCGCGGGGGGACCCGGGACGTAATAGAATAAGAAGAGGCGCCATGAAATCTGAGGAAAAATCATGGCCCGCGCCATGAAATCCACCCCCCCCTAGTCATCACCCCCCTCTTTTCCGCTCCCGAAGGGAATGCCGCCGCCGCTGGCAAGGGACGAGAGTCGAGGGGAAGGGGGGAGGTTCAGCCCGGTGCGCTTCGTCGCTGCGTGAGTGGAGGCCTCCAGCATGCGGTCCGAGTAGACAGGGCTGGAGCATGGCGCCGCCTCGCCAATGCCTCGCCGATGCAGCGGTGACGCGTCGATGCATCCGCGCCGTCTGCGTGGGGAAAATCGGGCTCCACACCGAGCCGCATCGTCGATGCATCTGCGATGCGGCGTCATCCTCCGATCCCATCTACGTCAGGCCTGTGGCGTGACGACTTCTGCGTTGGTTTCGGACGCCGCGTGGACCGTTCAGCCTTCACCGATCGCAACTTTACGTTAGCGCAGATCGTTCGACGCGAGCCGATTCCAGGCCAACGGCGGCGTTCAGCTTTCAGCGCCCGCGCTGGGGGCGCCGTATCGACCACGTCGACGTTGCATCGCTGATGCGTCTGCGATGCGGCGCGGTCCTCTGACCCCCCCTGCCTGGACCCTCTTTGCTAGGTCGACCGGGGGGCCTGTTGCGGCCAGCCGGGACGACCTGGGGGGGGCTGTCTGTTTTTAGTCAGCGGCCGCAGGCGAGAGCGCCAGCGGCGAGTCCAGTCAGAGCGGGCCGCGCAAAGACGAATTAACCTAAAGCGGTGGGCCGAAGCCTCACGCAGCACCTCGGCGGCCAGGCCGGCGAGTGGAAGGGGGCTGACAAAAGGGGCTGTCTGTTCGCAGCCTTAATGAATCTCCTCTTCCTTTTCCTGCTCCTCCTCCTCCTCCTCCTCCTTCTCGTGCTCCTCCTCCTCCTCCTCCTCCTTTTTCTCCTTCTCCTCCTCCTCTTCCTCGTCCTCTTCCTTCTCCTGCTCCTTCTCCTCCTCCTCCTCCTCCTCCTCCTCCTCCTCCTCTTCCCTATGGACTCCCTATGGTGAGTTTGCACGGTCCTGGGCGGAGTGGGCTGCGATGAATGGGCGACTGGGGGTCGATGCGTAGCCCCCTGGGCCTTTCCCCCTCCTAACGTTTTTTTTTTTGGGGGGGGGGGGAGGGGGCAAAGAAAACAACTCGTATACAACGACGGCGCTGCAACGGCAGGGTGCGCAGGTCACGGAATACCTCTTGGAGGCGGCTCCCGTGTCGGCCTTTCCCCCCCCTAACGTTTGGTCTTGGTTTTCGGGTCACCACTCGGCTTTCTGGCGGCCGTTCGGGACGATCTGGGTACCCCCGGAACGCCCTCGGCGAGGCGCAGCTGCTGGAGCGCATCTTGAACGAAGGATTGCAAAAAAACCGAAGGATTGCAAAAAAAAGGATTGCAAAAAAACCTGGATTGCAAAAAAAACAAGGATTGCAAAAAAACCCTTCGGTTTTTTTGCAATCCTTCGAGGCTGGAAACCATAATGAAACCAACGAAAACGCTCGAAAACCTAAAAGAACCCACGAGCACTTCCCCCCTGCCTGGGGGCCCCAAAACCGTGTGGTGACAGACCCGGTGGTGACCTCGAAATCCACAGAGACCTCACCTCCGGGTCCGTCACTACATGGTTTTGGGACCTCGGAGGTCCCAGTCGCCCGAGACGTCCTCGAAGAACGACCCGAGTCCCAAAACTGTGCCGTGACCCTGAATCCCCACCGAATCACCACACGGTGTGGTCACCACCCCGTTTTGGGGGCCCCCGACACCAACGTTACCCTTGAGGATCGCGCGCGAGGAGGGCGGTGGAGGAGACCCGGGGCGACGGGCGCCCCGCTGGGCTCGCAGCTCCGGCGGCGGCGGCGGCGGCCGCACAGGGCCCCGAGGCGCTCTCCGGACGCGCCGCGCAGGCGCGGCCGCCGAGGTGCGGCGCGGGCGGACGCTGCGGGGCTGCCGGCGAGCAGCCCCGTCTCGGGGCCCCCTCGCGTCGTGAAAAAATCACGACGGGAGGTTTTTCGCTATTTTCGGCCTCCGGGGGCCCTTACCGGGCCTCGGGAGCGTCAAAAAAACGACTCGGGACGAGAAACCGGTCCCGGGGAAGGGGTCCAGACCTCTGGAGGTCGACGTTGTGAAAAAAAACACAACGTCGGGGGTCTGGGTCTCGGGGCCCAGAAGTCCGTGTGGTGGCCGACCCTGAGGCCTCGGGCGCCTCCCAACCTCTGGTCCCGCCGGGGCGTGTTTTCGCCGGGCGCTCGAGAGCGGTGGAGAGCTTGAGTGGAGCCCGACGTCGCTCGCGCCGTTTTTTTGCTGCAGTGATGCTCTCTCACGCTTCCCCCTGCTCGCGCGCCGTCCGGCGCAGGGCTTGCGCTCGCTCGCTCGCTTCGGGCCCCGAAGCCATCGCTTTGGACGCCCGAAATGGGCACCGAAAAAATGGGTACAATGCCCAACGGCAAATGTTGTCCCAAACCGACAGCGGCCGCTGTTGGGCGGGCGACCTCCTGTCTCGAATGGACACAGGCCGCGGCGGCGTGGACAGCGAGTCCTGTTCAGAATGAACAGGAGCTGCTGCTGGGCATCGTACCCATTCTTTCAGTACCCACTTCGGGCGTGCAGCATCGCAGACCGGTCCGGCTCGAAAAAGGGCGCAGGAGCACGGGGCCCAGGGCGCCAGTCGTGACCCTTCCTCTGCGATGCTCCAACCTTTTTTCGCGACGTCGGATCTCGGGGGACCGCGCGGCTGCCTCAGAATCTCTCTCTCAGCGCCCCTCAAACGGGGACCCCACTAACGGGTACTTTGGCCAGTGACCCAGCGAATCCAACCCTTCCCGATGTGGGCAACGCTGCAATGCCAGAAAAAGGCCCTAAAGTGGCAACTTTCGGCATCATTTCAAAGTACCCGTTAGTAAGTACCCGTTACGGTGCCGTTGACTCTCACGACCTCGCCGCGCACGGTGCCGGGACCTCGGAGGCCCCCGTCGCCCGAGACGCTCGGAACACGACCCGGGCCCCAGCGCCGTGCGGCGACGCCGGAGCCCCACTCGAACGAGGTTTTTTTTTTGCAATCCTTCGGTTTTTTTGCAATCCTTCGTTTTTGTTGCAATCCTTCGTTTTTGTTGCAATCCAAGGTTTTTTTGGCAATCCTTCGTTTTTTTGCAATCCTTCGCTCGCCGCGCGGAGTGGTCACCGCACCGCGTTGGGGGGCCCCTGCTGCGGCCTCTGGCGGCGGGCCCGGGTCGAGACAGCGAGGGCCCGCCCGGGCGTTTCTTTTGTCCAGGCCTCCCGGGGGCTTCTCGCCGCCACGGCTGGATCCGCGCTGGGCAACGGATTGCAAAAAAAATATTGCAAAAAGCGTGTTTTTTTTGCAATCAGGTGTTTTGTTTTGCAATCCTTTTTTTTGTTTGCGACCCTGCGGGCCTATCGATGGGCCCCTCGACATCAGCTCCCGCTTCCCCCCCTCTCGCAGGGCCCGCCGCTGGGCCCTGCGAGGAAGGACCCGGGGGACTGGTGCTGATCAGCACCAGTCCCTCCAGCCCAGCCCAGGATCCTCTCGAGAGGATCCTGGGCTGGGCTGGAGGGCCGCCGCTGTGTCCAGCTGGGGCCCTCCTGCGATGGTGCGCGGGCGGCGAGGGATGGGTGCCAGCCCAGGCCCCTGACGCCGTGCTCTGTTCTTAGGTCGGGCATGTCCCCCTAGAGGCGGATGGGCGGAAGATGAAACATACATGAAAGATGCCCACCAATATTCAAAACATGCCACAAAAAGTGCCCCCAGACTGTTGTTTTACTGTGTGGGAATCTTACTACTGTAGAGGGACGTGCCCGACGTAACTCTGCTCCCAACGTGGATCCCTGGAGGCCTCGACCTGCGAGTGGCTTTTCGACGGCCGCCGGGGCCCGGCGAGGGCCTGCAGGGCCCGAGAACATGTAGGAGCAGGACACCTCCCCGCCGTGATTTTGTTCACGGCGCGGGGGGGTCTGGGTCGTGCGAAGGGTTAGGTCGGGCATGTCCCCCCACAGGCGGGTTTTGGACGGCAGAAAAAACAATACGCAACGAGTGCCCCCAAATGGTCAAGAGAAGTGAGAACATCGTCCCCAGGCTACTCTCTGACTATTTTTGAAGATTCCTCCTGTGGTGGGACGTGCCCGACTTTGCGCAGGCGGCGACGGGGTGGGGGCAGGGGGAGGGGGCGTCCGCGGGGCTCACAGCTCCAGCTCCGGCGGCGCGTAGGCCAGGAGGCGCTCCGACACGCGGTCGTGCAGTCGCCGGTCCAACGAGCTGATGTTGCGGATGGCGGCGAGCATCTCCGGCGGCAGGTCCTCCTGGACTCGGGAAAGACGGGGTCGGGGATCTTCTGACCCGGGTCCATCCAGACCTGGGTCAGCAGGACACCAAAAACTGCAATGCAGGACAAACAAAACTGCAGGATCTGGCGCCCTGGCTGACCCCCGTCTGCATTGAACCCCGTCTCAAGGCTCCCGACGGGGGTCAGCCAGCATCGAACCGGGTCGATGACCCCCAGGACGTGTGTCGGCGCCAACGCGTGCTGGTCCACCGAGGTCCTTCAACACGGCGGCAGGCGGCGCAGCGAGGGCCGACACAGGCGCTGCGCGTCAGCGGCGGAGCCGAACTGGGCAAACGCACGCTCGGGCGGACACAGCATGTCCTGAGGATCATCGATCGGGGAGGTCGGCTCGGATCGGAACGTGTTTCGGATCGCCCTGCGTCTCCCTCGGAGGCGCACGTGCGAAGCGAACATCTGGTACAAACGCCTTGTAGCACGTCGTCGCCCCAGTTGCATGACCAGGAAGCGCCTGCCACCGAGCATGTACTACGGGGAGGGCATATACTACGGTTAGGTCGGGCGTGTCCCCCTTACAGGCGCATCTTCGACGAAAAATCATCAATGGCCAAGAAATGCGCCAAACATGCAACAAATGATCGAACAATCGTCCCCAGACTATTTTTCCCAACCATCCTGTGGTCTCCTCCCCCCCCCTCCCTCCTCCTCATCCTTGCCTTTGCTCTCCGCATGAACCTGTTTCGGCACACCCCTCACACGTTTTCGTGGCCCCATGGGGAGCTCCAACTAAGGTCCTAGTGGTGCAGCCCGCATGGCATCCCCGCCCCATTCTGGCGCACCCCTCACACGCTTCGTAGTCCCATAGGGAGATCCAACTGAGGTCCCAGTCGCGCAGCCCGCATGGCATCCCCGCCCCATTCTGGCGCACCCCTCACACGTTTCGTGGCCACATCGGGAGATCCAACTGAGGTCCCAGTGGCGCAGCCCGCATGGCATCCCCGCTCCATTCTGGCGCACCCCTCACACGTTTCGTGGCCCCATAGGGAGCTCCAACTAAGGTCCTAGTGGGGCAGCCCGCATGGCATCCCCGCCCCATTTGGCGCAGCCATCACACGTTTCGTGGCCCCATTGGGAGCTCCAACTAAGGTCACAATAGCGCAGCCCGCATGGCATCCCCGCCCCATTCTGGCGCACCCCTCTCACGTTTCGTGGCCCCAAAGGGAGCTCCAACTAAGGTCCCAGTGGCGCAGCCCGCATGGCATCCCCGCCCCAACCTGGCGCACCCCTCACGTTTCGTGGCCCCATAGGGAGCTCCAACTAAGGTCCCAGTGGCGCAGCCCGCATGGCATCCCCGCCCCATTCTGGCGCACCCCTCACACGTTTCGTGGCCCCAGAAGGAGCTCCAACTAAGGTCCCAGTGGCGCAGCCCGCATGGCATCCCCGCCCCATTCTGGCGCACCCCTCACATGTTTCGTGGCCCCATAGGGAGCTCCAACTAAGGTCCCAGGTGGCCAGGTTCGCATGGCGGCCTGGCCCCATTCTGGCGCACCCCTCACACGGTTCGTGACCCCATAGGGAGCTCCACCGAAGGCCCCAGTGGCAGGGTTCGCATGGCGGCCCCGCCCCATTTTGGCGCATCCCTCACACGGTTCGTGGCCGCATTGGGAATTCCCCTTGCTTCGTCCCACCTGCCCTGCGGCATTCACTTTTGCAGATGGTTTGGCCCTTCGCCAGGACAGTTTTACCCTTTTTGAATTTTCCTCCTGTAGAGGGACACGCCCGACTTGATACAACGGTGAGGGCACAACGTGCGGCGGGACGGGCCGCAGCGGCTCCTCCGCAAACCTCGGGACCGAATCGGACCGAGACGGCCGGCAACCAATCTGCGCGCGGGCCTTCATGCTCGACGCCGGCGCTGCTCGTACGAGGAAAGCGCCATACACAGAAACTTGTGGCGCTCCACGCGGAGTTCTTGGATCCGCGCTGGACCCCCCTCCCTGGCGCGCGGAGCGGGCCAAGGGCGGCGCCAGAGGCGCCGCCAGGGGGGTCCCAGCGCGGATCCAAGAACTCCGCGCGGAGCGCCACACGTTTATGCCTATGGCGCTGTTTTCTTCGAAGTTTCACCCGCAGGGCAGCAGATCTGGCCCCAAATCGGCGAGTTGTCCGATGTGATCTTTCGGTCCCGCGACGGGGCAGACCTTCGAGCGGGCCCGTCTTCTCGCAGGCAGCAGCCGGGGGTCGCCGACGCCCGAGGTGTCCGCCCCATGGGCCTCTCCCGCGAGGGTGCCTTCAGCGAAAATCTGGGGCGCAGCTTTTCCCCGATGGCTGGGGCCGCTCCTTGCGATCGCAGTTCCGGCCCATCGAACTGGATTTAGGTCGGGCATGTCCCCTTGCAGGGGGCTTTTGGGCGGAAAGTGAAGAACACGCAGAACAAATACTCCCAAATCATCCCAAAATGCTAACAGAATCGTCCCCTGTATTTTGGACTATTTTCGAATACTTCTCCTGTAGAGGGACAGGCCCGACTTAAAACTGGATCGACCGGGTCGAGGTGGGCCCTGTGAGGATCGATGATCGAGGTCGACGTCGTCGCTTCGGAGGCTTGCGGGCAAACCTCTGGAGGCTTCCGTCGCCACGGCTGGGGTGCAGCCCGAGAGTCTGGCCGGGTGGGGCGCTGGGGATGGAGGGGTTCTGGTCGGATCTTGCCCGACGCCCTCCTCCTCCTCCTCCTCCTCTTCCTCCTCCTCCTCCTCCTCCTCCTCTTCCTCCTCCTCCTCCTCCTCCTCCTCCTCCTCCTCCTCCTCCTCCTCCTCCCCACCCGTATTCTGGAGTTCGCATGCCGAAGCTTTCGGAGGCCCTCAGAGACACCCCTGGTCATGCAGATGCCCTCACGGCAAGGGGTCTCATGTTGTGCTCCTGGGTCGCCGCCAGGACGGGGCTGGGCGAACTCAGAGCAAGACGCCACACCCACGCAACCTGTGCCAGGCCACAGCTCACGCCAGCTTGGACAGTGCTAAGAATATTGCTGGCCCAGCAGGAAGAGGCAGATTTTGTCTTCAAATTCGACAGGGCCGAGGTGGTCGAGGGCCTCCATATTTTTTACGTTCGATGGACCCCGCAGTGTGATGCAAATTTCGCCCCAGCCCGCTGGCGGCAACAGTCGATCTAGCCAAAGAATGGATCCTGAAAGTAGAAGCTTGTTCCCGTAATCAAATGGCGACAGTGCTACCCTGTCCTGCCCTGATCTGGGTGTTGTTCAAAGCATTTTTGACTGGTATGAAGCCCCCCAGCCGTTCGACTTCGACTGAGCTGTGGGGCTTTGGGGGCTCCTCCCCTCGTTCCCTCTGCTGCCTCCTCGCCTTCTTCTCCTCCTCCCCGCCTCCTCCTCCCCCTCCTTCTCCCCCTTCCGCTCCGTTTCCTTATAAATCACTTGACCCTGAAGCTTAAACGTTGGCAACAGTTTCATACACGGAGGGCGGGTGCTTTTCTAACTGTGGCTCTCGCCTCGGCGCCGCGCAACTATAAGATTACAAGCGTGCAGCAGTTACGTCGATTCGCTGTTTTGCCAGGATGGCGTTATGGCACGACGCAGGATCGTTAAGACGCAACAGCCAAGTTGTTCCGTGGCGTTGGAGTCCCGAGAATAATCTTTTGGCATGCCTCAGGGTCTTCAAGCGGTTGTCTTCCAACGGGGCAGTTCCCTGAGTGGAAGTGAGCCGCTGCAGGGGCCTAATGAAGAGGGAGGTGGGCAGGGAGGGTTTATGCCATCATCGTTGTTGGCTCTTGGGTTTACACTGGTCCTCCTCCTCCTCCTCATCCTCCTCCTCCTCCTCCTCCTCCTCCTCCTCCAATCCTCTTCCGTATAACTAACTTCGCCCTGTCGCACCCCTCCTGGTCCTCCTCCTCCTCCTCCTCCTCCTCCTCCTCCTCCTCCTCCTCCTCCCTCCGAGCTCGCCGAGGAGCAGCGGGCGCGCGCTGCCCGCAACAGCGCCCAGGCCAAGGATAGCGGCGTTCGGCGCGGGTCCCGGGGGGCGCGCGCCCGCGAGGAGCACCGGCCCCGTGCTCTGTGAGCGGAGGAGGGGAGGAGGAGGAGGAGGAGGAGCAGGAGGAGGAGGAGGAGGAGGAGGAGGAGGAGGAGGAGGAGGAGGAGGAGGAGGAGGAGGAGGAGGGGAGGAGGGAGGAGGAGGGAGGAGGGAGGAGGGAGGGAGGGGGAGGGAGGAGGGAGGAGGGAGGGAGGGGGGAGAGGAGGAGGGAGGAGGAAGGAGGAGGAGAGAGGAGGAGGGAGGAGGAGAGGAGGGAGAAGGAGGAGAAGGAGAGAGGAGGAGGAGGAGGAGGAGGAGGAGGAGGAGGAGGAGGAGGAGGCACCAGCCCCGTGCTCCGTGGGCGGCCCCCAGGGGTCGCGTGCTCTATGCTCGTGGGGCACCAGTCTCTCGTGCTCCACAAGGGGCCTCTCCGAGGAGGCCCAGGAAGCGGGGGGCCTCCTTCCTCCTCTGCGCTCTTTAGCTGTCTGCGTTCGCTTCGAGCACGTCGCCTCACGCAGTGCGCGGCGCCCAGCGCATGCCATCGTCCGACGACGACGGCTTCCCTCTTCCCTCCCCCCTCCTCCCTCCAACTTGTCCCTCTCCCCGCCAACTCATCACTCCTCCTCTTCCTCCTCCTCTTCCTTCCTCCCTCCCTCCTTCTTTCTCCTTCTTCCTCGTCCCTCCCCGTCCTGGCGGAGCTTCTTGCTCGTCAGGTCCCCGTTCCGGAACTTGCTCTTCCCTGGTTTCGCCAGCGCCTTCGTGAGCGCGCGCGGCGGACAAGCAAGGTTTCCCGGGGGTATGCCGATCCAACGTTTTGACTGGGCCAACAAAACTTGGGACCTTCAATGGGCCAAGAACGAGTGGGCCATACTCGGGCATATGCGACGGGGGCTTTCATCCTCGACAGGGGTGCGTCCGAATAGCCCCCAAGGCGTGTATCCCCGAGTTCTCATAACGCCCTGGCTTTTACGGGGGAGCTCGGGGATTGGATGCGAGGAATTGCCCACGAAAGCTTGCCAGAGAGGGGAGGAGCCTTCCGACCTGGGCGTCCCCAACAAAACATCGCGGCGGCAATTCGTTCCACGCGCTTGGCCTCCAGAGGCCGTCTCCAAGTTCACAGCCGAAACGCTGTCATAAGAAACCCTTAATAAGGAACGAGGCCCCTTCTCTCCATAAGTGAAACTTTGATTTCCCATGGAAAAGTCAATGAGCACCCAAGACAAACTGTAAACCAATTAAAAAATACTGAGCCCCTCCCCAACGAAAAGGGTTCCTTCTTCAGCGGCCCGACTGTAGAGGCCTTCAAACAACTGCCCAGGATGAAAAAGCAGTCCCCGGGAAGAAGTCGAAACCCCGAGGGCCCACGTCGCGAACAGACTGCGTCTTCGGAAGGACGGGTTTTTGCATCGACTTCGACGCTGATTAAGGTGTGAGCCTGTCAGCAGAGACTGGCACGCAACTCGCAGACGTACTACTAAGGGGCTGACAGCTGTGCTGGGGCACCAGCGTTGAGGTTAGGCAGGCAGACAGGACAAGCTAGGCTTAAGTCGGGCCTGTGCCCCTACAGGTGGATCTTCGACGAAAAATCCGCCGACCCTGTCGGCGTGTGTGAGGGGCTTCTCCGTTCGACTCGTCGTCTCCGTCGTCTCCGTTCTCCCCCTCCCAGGGCTCTCCTCCTCAAGCGCGCTATCCAAAGCGAAATTAAACGACGTCGTAGTGGAGTCGAAGGGAAGCCCCTTCCCTTTGATCCCTTCCCCGCAGGGGGGGGGGGCCGGGGCAGATACGACGCCCGCCGGGGCGCACTTTCCTCGAGCGGGCACGCACGGGATGCACTTCCTCCTCCTCCTGGTCCTCCTCCTCCTCCTCCTCCTTTTCCTCCTCCTCCTCCTCCTGCTCCTCTCCTCCTTCTCCTCCTCCTCCTCCTCCTCCTCCTCCTCCTCCTCCTCCTCTCCCGCAGAGGCGTCCCGGGAGCGGGCCCCGAGTCAAAATACCACCCCCCTAGGGCGCATTTTCCTCGAGCGGGCACGCCCGAGATGCACTTCTTCCTCTTCCGGGAGCACGTCCCAAGTCAGAATATCACACTCCCGGGGCGCACTTTCTTCGAGCGGGCACACAAAGGATGCACTTCCTCCTCCTTCCTCCTCCTCCTCCTCCTTCTCTTCCTCCTCCTCCCCCTCCTCCTCCTCCTTCTCCTCCTCCTCCTCCTCCTCCTGCTGCTCCTCCTTCTCCTCCTCCTCCTCCTCCTCATCCTCCGCTTCCTCCCCCCATTCCTAGCCCTTTCGATCAGGGTCGGCGGCACCGGCCGTCAGGCCTCTCCAATAAAACATACCCCTAAAATGCTCAAAAAGGTAAAACAATACTCAAAAAATAGCCCCCAAACTATTTTCTGACTATTTTTGATTATTGTTGGGGTATGTTAGATTTTTCATCGAAAATCCCCCTGTCGGGGACAGGCCCGACTTAAAGCTAGGCATTCAAGTGCTCTGTCGTGTTGCGCAGCCGACTATCTGGGATCGTTCGTAATACTGGGGCGGGAGAGCTATCTTCGCCCCATCACGGCCAGACTGAGACAACGGCGGGCACAGAGCGGCTTTCGGTGTGCTTGGAGAGAGGGCAGGAAGGGATCACCGCGGCTCTCTGGTGCTTCTCCGAAGGGACGTCTGCCCTCGGGTTCTTCATATCCCCACAGGCATCGTTGGGATCCGTCTGGTCCCACAGCGCTTGTACTGCCGCGCCTGTAGTCCGCCAAGCACTTGCACAATGGTGGTGGGGAAGTTTCTTCCTAGCCGCCCTCCACTCCTTGCTGGTAGGATCGTAGCCCCATCGTGCGTCGTGCCCCCTCCTATGTGCGAGCGCCGCCCGTCACCTGTTGTAGCAACTCAGCTGGGATGTAGGGCCGGCATTCTGAAAGGATGCGCGTGGATGCTCTTGACGTCTGTCCGAGCTCGAATTGGTCGGAGTCAGTGCGCGTGGCTGCTGGCGACGATATGATAGCATGGGGTGGGTGCCATGGGGACGAACTGACCCCCTGCAACCTCCAGTCACACGGTTGTGGGTGCTCCATTCACCATGACGTGCCACTACCATGTGTTCTGCAAAGAAATCTGCCGTGGCGCATGGTAGTGCATTGCCTACTCCTACTCGCAGCTGATCCATATGATGCGACGTCTCCGCTGAGTTGCCTCAGTACTCGTCATGTGTACGTAGGGGGAGGGGGGTCCAGACCCTTCGGCCCGCCTGGGAGCTGACCAGGTTCCGCATGGCCCACCCACAGACAAACGCGACGACGTGTCCATCTATGATGTAACGTTTCCAAATACCTAGCGTAGAGCGGTTCGTCATGTCCCGGATGTCTCGTGCACCGCGCTGTATACTGACAGCGTGACCAATCAAAACGCCGGGTGGTAATGTGTCTACTCCACCTGCGCCTGCGCGTCTCCTGTCCACCTGCGTCCTGGCTAGTAGTTCAAGACAACGTACTCAGCCCTTCGTACTCCTCTGGGAAGTTCCTGACTGGCCGTCCCTGGAAATCTTTCAACTAGAGAAAGCCAATTTGGATACCAATCTGTATACGGGTATTCGATCATGGGCGGTTGGTCTGGCACGGCAACAACAAGTGGTGGCAGTAGCACAGCGACCCAGGGCGCCTGCATCGCTGATTCTGCCGCCAGTAGCTCGTTATCGGGCACTTCCCTGGGACATCGACCTCGACACGTCCGTAGCCCGCTCAGCCGAGGGCCCTTCTGCTCGAACGGTAGGGGCCACTACTTGACGTCATCCAAAAGCCACCGCGTAGGCACAACCTCCGCTGGTGGGCGCATGACACGGCATGGGCATGCCCCCCCGGGATTGTTGATGTCGGTGCCGAAGCCGCATCATAGGATCGCTTGGAAGTATGTGGACTGCAATCTTCTTGGTAGGCGGTCGGGCGAACCAGGCGTTTCGCCGAATACTTCGTCACAAGCAATGTCCCGAACACGTGAATTCAAGAACAATGCGAATAGAGGGCGGTCCGAATCAAACTGTGGCTGTCGCCGATGCGCCACGCACATCGGACTGATACTTTTCAGACAGCTGCGCGGATGCAATGTGAATCGGAAATAGACGCTAGCTCTTGCCGTGCCCACTCGTTTGGATATACTCCACATCTACGCGGATGCAAGGAATGTGGTTTCAAAAGGTGGTTCCCGCCCTATCGCAGTGCCTATGCGTGTCAGTACATGCGCTGGTTGATTTCATTCATGGGACAACAGAGGCTGCTGCCAAAATGTGGCGCCACGCAAATTTGCAGTCAAGCTCTGCAGTAGTTGCACGGGTGGAGGGCCAACCCCTTTCAAGTTGAGGCTCTCGCTTCAAACTTCCCTGGACGTGTTTTCCCAGACCGTGCGCGACACATGAGGATATGGACGGTGGTGCCTTCTCTACCAGGGGTTCCCGCTCGAGTCGCTCGAGGCTTCCCGAAGCAGTGCTTGCGCTAGGGATCCTTACTTCGCTCCTTCTCTACTTGGATTGAGTCGGGCGTGTCCCCCTACAGGGAGACTGTGGACGAAAAATAGGACAGTCAGAAAAGATTCAAACAAGTCAAACGTAGTCAACAAATCGTCCCCAGACTATTTTTTTGACTATTTGTGAATCCTGCTTCTCTTTCTCTTCCTCCGCCCCTTCCTATTCCTGCTCCACCTCTCCCTCCTTCTCTCCCTTCTCCTCATGCTCCTCCTTTCCCTCCCTCTTCTTTTCCTTCTCCTCCTCCACCTCCTTCGCCTTCTCCTTTTCCTGCTCTTCTTCCTCCTCTTTCTCCTCCTTCTTATTCTCCCTGTAGAGGGACAGGCCCGACTTGATACTCGGATGGGCGTGTCATTATTTCTGCACGGTGGGCAGCCGTGGTCGCCGCGTGGACGCCCCGTGCGCCGGCTGGGTGCGTCGAGGCTCCACCGGATGGGCAGCCGTTGTCTTAAGTCGGGCGTGTTTGGGCGCCCGAGTTATCCGGGGTAACTCGGGTCCGGGGTAACTCGGGTTTGGATTCCCGAAAAAGGAACCCGAGTTACCCCTGACCCGAGTTACCCCCCGAATCCCGAAAAAGGAACCCGAGTTACCCCTGACCCGAATTACCCCTGATGATTCGGGGCTCTGGACGCCCGAGTTATCCGGGGTAACTCGGGTCCGGGGTAACTCGGGTTTGGATTCCCGAAAAAGGAACCCGAGTTACCCCTAACCCGAGTTACCCCTGATGATTCGGGGCTCTGATTAAGTCGGGCGTGTCCCTCTACAGGAGGAGTATGCAAACACAGTCCAAGACTGGTTTTGGGACGATTTTTTGTTTAGTGTTTTGTTTGTGCATTTTTTTGGGCATATTTGTTTGGACGATTTCTGTTTTTTCGTCGGAAATCCGCCCGTAGGGGGGCACGCCCGACCTGCCCGTGGTCGCCTCGTGGGCGCCCCGCTCGCGGGCTTCGGGGGCGACAGGGTGCTGCCCGTCGGGCGCCTCGGTGGGCACCTCGTGCTGCGCACCGCACGTCCCGCGCGAGGTCGATGGCACCGCGCAGCTTTCGCACCACGCAGCTCTCACACCAAAGAGCACTCAGCACAGGCCCTGCTCCGCACAACTTGCACCACGGAGCCTCTCTTCCACACACCACGTAGCCTACACCACACGGGTTGCAGTGCGTACACAGGCACCACAGCGCTTGAATGGCACGAGTTGCGCCACATGCCTGAAACCGCAGAGTTTACGCCGCGCATCTTGCACCACATTGGCTGCACATCGATCGTGCGATAACATACTGTGTGGGACCCGCGCTTGCAGACATCAAGCTATGACTACTTACCCGACGCTGGAAAGGGCGCGGCAGGGAAGAAGCGTACACGGGCGGAGGGCAGCTCCTTGTTACTCGGTTCTCCTCCCAACAGTAGCCTCCTCCTCGTCGTCCTCCTCGTCCTCCTCTTCCTCCACCTCCTCCTCACCACCAAGCGTGGCGGTGATGTGGGCAGGGCGTTTCGCATGAGACGTCCTCCGGATGTGTGATCCTGAAGCTTGCCATTCCCAACAACTGCACGCATGGAGGGGGTCAAACTATGACTCTTGACCCAACGGCGGCCACATTCGTCCAAAAAACTATTCACACTTACGCGGATGGAGAGGGGTATCGTTTTCAAAATGTTGCTCTCGCTTTTCGGCGCCGCGCACATTCGTCGCACACGCCTCCAACATCCACACGGATGTAGGGCAGCACCTTTTGAAAACGTGGCTCTCGCCGTAGTGCCGCGCTCGTTCTTGTCACAAGTTCCCAACAGCTACAAGGATGGAGTGCAATTTCCCTTTTTTGTCAACATCGCTCGCTAGGGACGACCTCGCCTTTTTTATGAACAGAAAACGAAGCATGTGCGATAACTACAGGGTGGAACGTGGATCTTTTTCAAGGCGGGGCCGTATCACCGCGCGTTTTTTCCAACCATCCTGTGGTGTGGGGTCCTCGTTTTGGAGAGACGGTCCCCGCGTCCCTCCTCTCCTCTTCTTTCCTCCTCTCCTCTTCTCCTCTCCTCCCTTCCCGCTCCTCTCGTCACCCTCTCACTTTGGCACACCCCTCATACGTTTCGTGGCCCCATAGGGAGCTCCACCTAAGGTCCCAGTGGCGCAGAACACACCATTCCCAGCGGTGCAATTCGCACGGCGGCGCCGCCCCATTCTGGCACACCCCTCGCGCGCTTCGTGGCCCTATAGGGAGCTCCACCTAAGGCCCCACTGGTGAACAGCGCATGGCGGTGCCGCCCCATTTTGGCACGCCCATCACGCGTTTTCGTGGCTCCAGAGGGAGCTCCACTGAAGGTCCCAGTGGCGCAGTTCGCGTGGCGGCGCCGCCCCATTTTGCACACCCATCGCACGTTTTGTAGCCCCATGGGGAGTTTTCGATCTTTTGTCGGTCCTAAGGACCCTCGCCTTGGGCCGTCGGCTGTCTGGCGCGCTGCCCCCTCGGTCGACGTCGCCCAGGCGTGATCCTGGACTGCGGCCGCCGCGAGGTCGGGGGCGGCAAAAAAGAGGACGACGAGTGGTGGCTAAAGGTATGTGCGCTGCTCTCGCGCGCCACCCGCCACGAAGACCTCCTGCTCATGCGGGCGCCGCGCATCGAGTTTTTTCTGGAAGGGCCGCCGGAGGGCTCGCGGAAGCAGCTGGAGCAGTTTGCGGAGCGCACGAAGCGGCGCAGGAGGGAGGCGACGGCCCTCGCCAGGGAGCTGGGCTTCACTGAGTTTATCCGCGAGGCCTGACCTGCGGAGCGGCCCGCCCGAGCCGCGCCTTCTCTCGACTGCCCAACTGTTTGGCCTCGCGCCGCGGACGACCCGCGCGCGTCGCTGGGACCTTCTCGGGGCGACCAGCGCGCGTCGCGGTAACTCCGCGCGGCGCTCTGCCCAGCGCCTCGCTCGCCCGTCGTCGCTCTGCCCAGCGGTCAGATCCTTGCCCGCCATCAGTCAGCCAGCTAGCCCTCTTTACTCCGCGCCGCGGACGACCCGCGCGCGTCGCTGGAGCCCTTTCGGAGCGACCAGCGCGCGTCGCGCGAATTCCGCGCGGCGCTCTGCCCAGCGCCTCGCTCGCCCGACGTCGCTCTGCCCAGCGGTCAGATCCTTGCCCGCCATCAGTCAGCCAGCTAGCCCTCTGTACTCCGCGCCGCGGACGACCCGCGCACGTCGCTGGGACCCCTTCGGGGCGACCAGCGCGCGTCGCGCGAACTCCGCGCCGCGCTCTGTCCAGCGTCTCGCTCGCCCGCCGTCGCTCTGCCCAGTGGCCAGATCCTTGGCCGCCATCAGCCAGCCAGCTAGCTCTCTTTGCCCCGCGCGGCGGGCAACCCGCGCGCGTCGCTGGGACCCCTTTCGGGGCGATTGGCGCGCGTCGCGGGGACTCCGCGCTGCGCTGCGCTTGCAGCCTTGGATGGACCTTGGAGTGCAGGGGCAAGGAGGGAGAAAAACAAGGGAAGGAAGCGGGCGCGATCCTCGTGAGAGGTGTGCCGACATGGGCGTCGCGGCGCGCGGGCCCTGCCATCGGGGTTTCTGGGGGAGCTCCCTGTGGCTGCCACGCTCAGTGTCGCAAGTGCTCAGAGCCAGGCGTAACCAAACCGTTCACATTCATATGCATCTAACCTAGGTGTAGCCATGCTCGCATTCATGCAAATAGATTCACTCGCACGCAGACTCATCCACAATCAGGCTCACTCGCGCTCAGTCTCTCGTACCCAGACCGATCGTCTTCGAAAGTGTTGTGCCCCACCACATTTCGGCACGCCCCAAATGCGGCTCGTGGCCCCATCGGGAGCGCCACCCAAGACGATATTCACAACTGCGATACTCACAATTGCATATGGTTGGGGCCTTCGCCTGGCTAGTTTCAATGGACGTTTGCGCTGGTTCAGGGCAACTCTTTTTCAAAACGGAGCTATCCATGGTCACTTCCTTCGGATTTTTATAAATCTGCCTCCCGTCTGTCTAGATGGGTGGCAGCTCCTGTTCCAAAAAGGAGGAGCGCCCTTTCCTGACTGGCGAGACCATGGAGCACCATCCGCAACGTGACTGCTGTGGGAGCTACGTGAGGAAGAGACTCGGGACGGCTGGGAGTGCTGCCGCAGCGGTGCTGCATCTCCTGGTCCCCCCCCTCCGCATCCCCGTCCTTCCCTGGCCTCCACCTCCCAATCATCCTCCTCGCCCCCCTCATCCCGATTCTCCTGCTCCTCCTCCTCCTTCCCCTCCTCTTGATCATGCTCCTCGTCCTCTCCGGACCTCCTCCTTCCGCCTCCCTTCCCCCCGCAGGCGCCGCCGCGACGCGGCCGCGCGGAAAGCGCGGAGGGGTGTAGGTCGAGGGTTCCTCCTCCCTGCAACTTTACGGATACGAATCGGTTTGTCAGAGAAGACCGGGACCCCCGCGGCCTTCTCGGACCTTGGCGTTCCAACGGTGGATGCGCTCACCGCTCCTCCTCCTTCTTTTTCTCGGCGAGTGCCTTCTCGTAGCCCGCGATCGTCTCCTCCGTGCGCGGCTCGAAGCTGCCGTGCCCGTCCACGTCGAACCTGCCATTTTTGCCATTTGCCCCCCCCCCCCCCCCCGACAGATGATGATGCTGATGATGATGCTGCTGATGATGCTGCTGATGCTGCTGCTGCTGATGATGCTGATGACCTTGATGATGATGATCATGATGATGATGATGCTGCTGCTGATGATGATGATGGTGATGATGATGGTTAAGATGATGGTGATGATGATGGTGATGATGATGGTGATGATGATGGTGATAATAATGATGATGTTGCTGATGCTGATGCTGATGATCTTGATGGTGCTGATGATGGTCCTCATGATGGTGATGGTGATCATGCTGATGCTGATCATGATGATGCTGCTGATACTGATGCGGGTAATTTTGATGATGCGGCTGTTGCTTCTGCTGATGATGAGGGTGATAACCATGATGACGATGATGCTGATGATCCGCTCAGCACTAAGTGGTCAGGACGCTTGGTGTGGCGGCAGAGGAGAGCTAGGATTGTCTGCTTCTTCTCGGCAGTGGCACGGGCCCTGGCCGCGAACAGACTCTTGAGACGCTCTCCTCCCCGAGTGTTATTTTGGCGGAGATGGTTTAAAGAAGAATAGAAGGGCAGAATATCCACTCCGATAATAACCGCCGCGGCACGCGAAGCCGTTGAGTAAACGCACCCAAAGAAGGAATCAAACAGGGCAGGGCTGTTTACTAAACGCAGAGGGCCGTTTAACCAATGCCAATTGTCGGGTCCGGATGGTTTTCCCTCGCTTGTGACGTTGCGCTCGAATCGGCAGGATTGTTTCCCCTGGCGGAAACTGGCTGAGGTGCACCATCCGCTGCAGATAGAGCGCAGAAGCGCAACGCAGATGGAGGGGACGACTGAGGGTGCAACGCTTGAGCATCGGAAGGCACGGCCGGAATGCCATAACTGTACGGAGATACCTCAGACTGTGGACCTGGGAAACTGAGACCGCGGGCCGCCTCAGGAAATCACTTGTAGGTACGGCTTTCGTGCTTGTCTTTTGCAGTTGACAGGTGTCGGGGTCGGAGCGGAGGGACGGGAACAGAGGGAGTGGGCGACGGACTCCAAGACCCACTGGTTCTGTAACGGAACGGCAAGGCGAAACCAGGACTCGTCCCGGAGCTCGCGCCAACGATGGAATATCTGGGGGGCGACCCCTGGGCGAAGACAGATACGGTACATGGCGGCCGTGTTTTCGATCTCCACTGAGCGGGGCCGCAAAGGTAGGCCCAGATCGTCGATATGCGCAAGAGCGAATGCGGTCAGAAAATAATGGGCGTCACGCTGTGCACGTAAAACAGCAGCAGGCACTGGGAGAAACTGCGCAGGGAAACTGAACCGAGGGAGCGCAAAGGTGTTGTAGGCGTAAAGTGCTTTGAATCAGCCCAAGAACAAGGTTGTGAATCTGGTACGGCCTCATTTTTTAAAACTTGCAGATTGGCTGTTCCCAACTCCTGGAGGGCCCGCCAGGCCCGATGAACATGCCCGGATACTTGGCCGAGGTCCCGGTCCTGAACAGGGAGACGTCCAGCCCAACCCCAAGGAATATCTGGATGGAGAGAGCGCGTTTCACGGGCGCTTGCTCGGAAAAATGCCCACTCACCCCCTCCGGAAACCCGAAGGGGGGGTCGTGACGGCGACGGCGACGACGACGACACGACAGCGGCGGCGCGGAGGACGCGCCGACGACAACGACGACGATGACGCGCCGCCGACGACGAGGACAACGCTGGCGACGACGCCGACGCCGACGCCGAAGACGCTGACGCCGAAAACGACGACGACGCCAAACACGACGCCGAGCACGACGTCGACCAAGCCGACGACAACGCCGACGCCAACGACGACGAGCGCGAAGCCGAGCACGACGTCGAGCACGACGCCGAGCACGACGCCACCGACGCCGAGCACGACGCCGACGATGCCGAGTACGACGCCGAGCTCAACGCCGACGCCGACGTGGACGCCGACGAAGAGCACGACGTCGATCACGACGCTGGGCACGGCGCCGACGCCGACGCCGACGACGCAGAGCACGACGCCGACGCCAGCGACGCTGACGACGACGAGCATACGACGTCGAGCACCACGCCGACAGCGCAGACGCCGACACCGACGCCGACGCAGACACAGACACCGACGCCGACGAAGAACGCGACGCCGAGCACGACGCTGACGCCGACGCCGACGTCGACGACGACGCCGCCGCCGACGACGACGCCGACGACGACGACGACGCCGACGCCGACAACGACGCCGAGCACACGACGCCAGTGCCGACGCCGACGCCGGCGACGGCGACGACGCCGAGCACGACGCCCAGCACGATGCCGAGCACTACGCCGACGACGCCGACGCCAACAACGATGATGACGACGGCGCCGACGCCAACGCCGACCACGCAGAATACGACGCCGAGCGCGACGCCTAGCACGACGCCGATAACGACGCCGACGCTGGCGCCGACGCCGATGCCGACGCCGATGCCGACGACCACGCCCAGTGCCGACGTCGACGCCGACGCCGATGCCAGTACCGATGCTGTAGACGCCGACGCCGAAGACGACGACGACGACAACGACGACGCCAAACACGACGCCGAGCACGACGCCGACGACGCTGCCAGTACCGATTCCGAAGACGCCGACGCCGAAGACGACGACGACGACAACGACGACGCCAAACACGACACCGAGCACAACGCCGACGACGCCGCCGACGCCGAGCACGACGCCGACGACGACGATCGCGACGCCGAGCACGACGCCGAGCACGATGCCGCCGACGCCGACGCCGACGATGCCGAGCACGACGCCGAGCACGACGCCGACGCCGACGACGACGTGGACGCCGCCGAAGAGCACGACGCCGAGCACGACGACGCCAAGCACGGCGTCGACGCCGACACCGACACCGACGCCGACGCCGACGCCGGAGCCAATGCCGACACCGACGCCGACGCCGACGTCGACGACGACGCCGACTCAGACGCCGACGCCGACGCCGACGACGATGACGCCGACAAACAACGACGCCGACGCCGGCGCCGATGCCAGCGCCGACGCCGTCGCCGACGTCGTCGACGACGACGCCGACGCCGACGCCGATTCCGACGCCGTCGTCGTCGACGACGACGACGCCGACGCCGAGCACGACACCGTCGTCGTCGCCCGCCCCTCCTCCCCGGGTTCAAACCTGGTGGTGAGGACATTTCCCTTCCTCCCCCTCCCCGGGTCTGAACCTGGGGTGGGCCTTACAACCGACTTCAGACATCGATCTTTCTTTGGATGATGTAGGTCCTGTCCAGACCTGGAGGGGAAACACTGAAGCACTTGCTTGGGTTCAGCCACAGGCCAGTGGCCCAAGCAACGTCTTCTATGAAACGAAATACCTCTGGAACAGTCTGAAGAATGTCCTGGGCAACGGCGTCGACGTCGATGTCGCCAACGAACGTGGACGGCCTGTCAGGACGTGGTCCCAGGGGGCGCTCGGGGTGGCGGAATATCGGGCCAGAGCGAATGGCGAATAGGACCCCGCTCAACAGACATCCCTGCTTCAGTCCCCGCGTGATGGGGTGCCCCTCGAAAGTCTCAACTCTGAGCGCTATTTCCGTCGCCGCACTTCGACGCGACTCTCTGATGGCAAAGAGAACTGGGTGGGGGAGGGACACCGAGCTGCAGCAGGCAATCTGTGATCCAGTCGTGGCCCAGCGAGGAGAAGGCTGCGGCGGTGCCCAAGAGAACCAAACAGCTCTATGGAGACCGTGAATCGCGAATAACTCAAAGAGGGTGGCGTCCATCTCGAGGATCTGATCGTTTATCTGCCTTGTATTGGTAAAACATGTTCTGAGCCAGGGAGACGGATAACTGGGCCTGGCTGGAGAAGGGGTTGGCGACCGCAACAGCAAGGATCTTGTTCTCGCAAATGGAGAGGGCAATGGGCAGAGTCGATTTAGCCCTGTGACATGCAGAATCGCCCCCGAGAGCTATAATTAGCGTCGGGGTTCCTCGAGTCCGAATCCTCGTCCTTGGGAATGAACGCAGGGAGCGAGCTGTTCAAACCGCCGACCATCTCATTGCAATCGATGAGGGGGGAGTAGAAGGCGAACAAGCAGTCGTGACAGAGCTCACCACCTGATTGCCGCGCAGCATATCCAATGCAGGCGGAGTGCGGCGCGGACTCCTTCGAGATGCCTAGAAAGTCAGATTCGGGGACCCGCCACTCGATGCTGGGGGGGGGCGACCTGAACCTCTTCCAACTACCATTAGGCCGGGCATGTCCCCCTACAGGAGGATTTTGGGTGAAAAATATAAAATAACCCAGACATGCCCCAAACGAGTTACAACATACCCTGAAAAATCGTCCCAATTTTATTTGACTATTTATGACTTTCCCTCCTGTAGAGGGACAGGCCCGACTTAAAACTACCATTGCTTCATGCCCCCGTGGGAGCCCCTCTCGGCCTGTCAGTGCGGACCTCGCCCGAGTGACGAGCAAGATTCCGAACGCTCCCGGCCAGGCACCGGGTGCGGGTGCCGTCAGGGTCAGAGGCGCTGGCAGGGGTGAGCCGCGGCCTTTTCGGAGACCAGGGCCTGGGGAAAATGCGGAAGCGAGAGGGCACTGGGTCGGAGTGAGGCGCGCTCGGTTTGGCAACGCCAACCTCGCTGAGCTCTGCGTGCAGGATGTCGCTGAAGAGGCCCCGAAGATCATTGTGAAACCCAGAGCAAAGTCGAGGTAAGAGCCTCCGTCTCTGTCATAGAACTTGCGGCAATGCTGGGAGAGCCGGCTTCAACTGCACATGCTTGGCCTCTTGGGCCGCGCGCATGACCTTCAAACGGACAGCGATCTTTTGGTGGAAGCCTGAAGATCGAGTACGACAGGATGTCTTTCACCGCGTACATGTACTCTTTGATCTTGCAAGCGCGCACCCTAGGATCCTCAGAACGCCCGGCCTCCGAATCAGTCTGATGCAGGATAGACTTAAACTCAAGATGTTAGGCGACCCATGTGGGATGCGAACCGGAAGTGCAATTGGGGTCAGCTGGGGCACCACTGGAATGTGGTCAAATTGTTCCCGACGGTCATGAGCGAACCCGACCATAAAACTTCTCGGGGTGAGGTCCAGGAGACAGAGCTGGGCAAATAAATTCACCATCAATCACGACGACCTACGCTAAGACCATTCTGACGAGAATTGCATCAGAGAGTCCGCTCGAGCCAGCACCCCCTGGCGGCTGCGGACAAGTGCGATTCAAACTTGAGCCAAGATGGCTACGGATATGATGATGACGATGGCGATGGCGATGATGATGATGTTGTTGATGATGATGATAAAGATGATGCTGATGATGATGGTGATGATGATTACGAGCATTATTATTCATATGACAACGGCTATGGCGATGAACGTATTCATGAAACTGTTGATGCTGATGTTCATGTTGATGTGGGTGCTGATGGTGATGATGATGGTGATGCTGATGAGGCTGATAATGATGCTGATGATGCTGACCATGCTGCTGCTGGTGAAGATGGTGGTGGTGATAATGTTGTTGCTGCTGCTGATGATGATGAGGGAGGGAGGGGGGGACGAGCAGGAGGAAACGATGAGGCGAGAAATTGAAGATCTTCAATCTTCCTGGGCCTCCTCGGTGGCCTTTGTTTCCACGGCCAGATGGAGGGAAGGAGGGAGCACGGGAAGAATGAGGAGGATGAGGAGGAGGAGGAGGAGGAGGAGGAGGAGGGAGGAGGAGGAGGAGCGGAGGAGGAGGAGGAGGGGAAGGAGGGGGAGGAGGAGGAGTAGGAGGGAGGCGGAGGGAGGAGGAGGGAGGAGGGGAGAGGTGAAAAGGAGAAGGAGGAGGAAAAGGAGTAGGAGGAGGAAAAGGAGGAGGAGGAGGAGGAAAAGGAGGAGGAGAGGAGGAGGAGCAGAAAGAGGAAGGCGGGGAATGAAGCGGGGGAGGATGAGGAGGAGAGGGAGGCGAGGAAGGTGGATGAGGAGAAACAGAGGCGTGATAATAGAGAAGAGAGACGGGGGAAGAGGGACGAGGGATGAGGATCACGGCGGTCATGACGACGCTGACGTTGGCGACGACATCGACGACGACGACATCGAGCCTACTCCACCCCAGCTCTGCGGCGAACATGCGCACCGTGGCGTCGAACTGCTCGCAAGTCCCGGCCAACATGCTTCCCCCGTCCAGCATTTGGAACACCTCCAACAAAGGACCCAAAATGCGTCACCCATGCTGCAATAAGCCCTCCCGTCAACCCTTCCCTCCTTCCTCTGCGGCTTGGGCCTGCCTTTCACGCGGGACATTGTTATGTGAAAGATCCACTGTCCTATTTGTAGACGGGAGAAACATGAAGAAGTAGGTCGTGAAGCCCAAGGGAATGTCCAACGAGAAATCTGTCTTGAAAAAGGCCTGCCCTCCATCCGTGTGAGCGCGTCACATATTCAAAGGCCTGGTCAAACATTTCGAAGATATCTCACATGCTATCATCATTTTGTAGAACGTTCAGCCTTCCATCCGTGCAACTCTTGCAGCATGACGACCTTGTGGTTGGAAGACTGATCAAGAATGCCACGCAATAACCCTACTCTGCAAAGGAGCCGCTCATCATTCGTGTCAGTACTGGATTGCTTAAGACGAGGGTGCGCAGTGCGTAGGCGAGAAGCCAATATTGAAGCCTGCCCGCCCTCCAGTAATTGCTGGAAGCTTCAATAACGAGCGTGCTCGGCTCCAAGGAAAGAGCCCCAGTTTCCAACGCCACCTGTGCTCCAATCGTGCAGCGGTTGGAATTGACGAGGTTCGGGATCACAGTTTTGCCGGCGTGGATTCCAAACATGCAGCTCTTGCACTGTGGTAGCAGTGCAAGCTCTGTGGTACGCCAGGTAATTCACACAATGCGTATATACATATGTATATACACATGTTCACGTGGCGTAAGCCATGTGGTGCAAGCTATGCGGTGAACGCTATGGTGTGCAAGCTGCGGTGGAAGCTGCGTGGTGTAAGCTGTGTAGCTTACTACATGCGGTGCAAAGTATTTTGTGCAGGTGATTCGGTGTAGGATCTGTGGTGCAGGCCGCATGATGAAACCTATGTGGTGTACACTTTGTGGTGCAATCTATGTGACATGAGCCATAGGGTGCAAGGTATGTGGTGCAAGCCATGTGGTGCACACGATGCTGTGCATTACACATACATGGCAACGTATGTGGTGCAAGCTATGTGGTGTAATCTAGGTGGTGCAAGCTGTGTAGTGCAAACTACGTGTTTAAACTACGTTCTGCAATTTATGCGGTGCACGCTATGTGGCGCCCCTGAGGCGCCCACGACCGCCCGCGACCCGTCACCACACGGGCGCCGAAACCTCGGGGCTCCCCCCCAAGCGCTAAGCGCCCGAGAAGCGGCCACGGGTCCCCACGACGGGGCGCTAACTGGACACCAGCCGAAACCTCGGCTTACCCATCACATTCACATAAGGACAACGAAGTAAGAACACCGAAGTGCAAGCATTGCTTGGGGAAAGTGGTGAGGAAGTCTCAGTTGGAATGTCTGGCCTGCCCTGACGACACGTCTGGTGGTGCGACAGTAAGGAGTTGCAAGAGGAGGAAGAGGCAGGAGAAGGAGGAGGAACAGGACCAGCGTAAACCCAAGGCCCATCAAAGATGTTGCAATACACCCTCCCTCCAAGCTCGCTCTGTATGAGTCCCGTGTCCCGACAAGGATTTATTTCCACAGCAGGAAGTGGCCCGTTGGAAAACAACCGTTTGACATTCCTGGACTAGTCAGAACGCCATTCCTGGGACTTCAATGCCGCGGATTCATATTAAGTTCGCGTCTTGAGGATCTTGAACCGTACAAGGGTACAATATCTGGGACTTCAACACCACGAATCATCGTAACTGTTGCGTCCTGACCGTCCGACATGTGCCAAAACACCATTTCGTGGACATTAGCCACGAGAACCCCTGAAACTGTTGTAAGCTCTTAAAACAAATGTGCGCTGCGCTATTGCGAGAACCACATTCTGGAAAAGAAACGCCCTCCACCCGTGAAACTGCTTCAATCTTTGTATGGCGGGTTTGCGCGGCGCTATGGCGAGAACCACATGTTGAAAACGTCCCGCCCTCCATCCGTGAAGCTCTTGCACTAGAACAATGAATGTGCGCGGCGCTAAGCGAAAGACCTGTCCTCAATCCGTGAAGCACTTGCGAACTTGTAAAACACATGTGCGCGGCGCTAGAAAGCGGGAACTAAATGGTGAAAGCGACGCCCTCCATCCGTCAAGATGTTGCACTTTTCTAAGCTTCAGTATCATGAGTGCTGAGGAAGTCTCACGCGAAACGCCAAGCCCGCACTTCCGACTGGCCTCGGGGTGCGACAGGGACGGGTGATTCACAAGGAAACGAATTGAGGAGGAGGAGGGCGGAGGAGGAGGACGACGAATAAGGAGGCAGGAGGAGGGGTGAGGAGGCAGGAGGAGGAGGAGGAGGAGGAGGAGGAGGAGGAGGAGGGAGCTCTGACGTGTCTAGCAGGATGAGCGTAAGAGAGGAGGAGGCGGAGGAGGAGGCGGAGGAGGAAAAAAAGTGCTCATACCTCGGACATCACGGAACATCGTGACTGTTTTTTGAATGCCAAATTATCTGGGCCCCTGGAAGCCCCGAGACGGTCAGGCTGGGCCGAAGAACCGGTCCCAGGCCGGTCCCAGGATGGGACCGAGAAGTCCATACTTACTAACCACGCCCTGATCAAGCTAGCAAGCTTGGAGGACGAGGGAGGAGGGAGGACGGATTAAGGATTCAGGGTGGCTCGGCCGTCCGCTCCGACTTGTGCTTGACGCTACTGCGCCCCTCCTGTCGAGGATTGGCAGAATCCTTTTTAGCAAATCGCCCTTTAGCGAAAACTGCTGGGGCACTCCACGGGTGCGCGCTGCACCGCATTCCGAGCGCACCTGGGCGGAATAGCTAGCCGATGTCCCAAAGCAACCGAATGTATCCGGCAACACGCACGTCGTTTAGCGAAACCGTCCGGGGGCTGCACTGGTACACTCGTATGCCAATATCGAATGGAGCCGTGCAGCTTCCCTCAGTCGACTTGCCTAGGTGCGTGTTTTCTGAATGTCCGACTCAGGAAAGGCTCTGGGAGCGGGCGACTCTCAACAAACATCGAGTCGTCGCTGTGGGGACTGGCCGATGACGCGCAAGACGGGCACCAAGAAATGACCCGGGCTCGACGTAAACAGTGTTTTCCGTTCTCGTGTTGTTTTCATTTCCCCTCGTTCTGTCTGCGTTCCGCCTTTGCTGCAACACGAAATCATCACGACAACGGTCCACGAAATCGCCCAAGCACTGCTCAGGTGCAGCCCTGGAGTGGATCCCCTGGAAGCGGCACCGCAGGACATCACGACGCCCTTCGATAGACCCCCTGGCCTCCAAGACAGACCCCCCCTCCCCCGGCCATCCCGCACCCACCTTCGAGATGTTCCGATATAGCCTTAGATGCATCAACATGAATCCGAAGATGCTTCAAAAGACCCCGAGACCGCCCCAAGTCGGCTCCAGACACCAAATAGCTCCCCAAGGAACCTTCCCAAAAAACAACATCCTTCGAACACCTACGGAAAACTAATGACGTCTGCCCCTCGCCTTTGCTTTTCCGATGACCATCCGAGGCCTCAGGATGCCTCCAAAAGACCCCCAGAGGGACCCAAGAGCGCCCAAGAGAGAAGCCCAAGAGAGCCTCAAGGCCGCCCTAAGAGCGTCGCCCCCCTGTCACAGACACCCCCGCCCACTCCGACAGACCCCCCTTCCTCCAGGACAGACCTCACCTCTCCGAGAAATCTCCTTCCTTCTTTCCGACAGAGCCTCTCTCCTGTCCTGCACAGACCCCGCCCTCTCTCCGACAACCCCCCCATCCCCTCTCCTTCCTGCCCCCCTTCGACAGACCACCCCCCAACAAGAACAGCAAAAGCAGCAGCAGCATCAGCAACAGCACCAAAAGCAGAAAGAGCAGCATCAGCAGCATTACTCGCGCACGGCCACAGACTCATCATCATGATGACGATCATCAGCATCATCATCATCATCATCATCATCATCGTCATCATCATCATCATCATCATCATCACCATCACCATCACCATCACCACCACCACCACCACCACCTCCACCACCACCACCATCACCACCATCACCACCACCACCATCATCATCATCATCATCATCACCACCACCACCACCACCATCATCATCATCATCATCATCATCCTCATCCTCATCCTCATCCTCACCCTCACCCTCATCCTCATCCTCATCCTCATCCTCATCCTCATCCTCATCCTCATCCTCATCCTCATCGTCAGCATAATCATCATCATCATCCTCATCCTCATCCTCATCCTCATCCTCATCCTCATCCTCATCCTCATCCTCATCCTCATCCTCATCCTCATCCTCTCATCCTCATCCTCATCCTCATCCTCATCCTCATCATCATCATCATCATCATCATCATCATCATCATCATCA